ATGTATGTGTATATGTATGTATGTGTATATGTATGTATGTGTATATATATACATACATACATGTATATACACACATACATGCACATATATATGTATGTATATATGTATGTATGTATGTATATATATGTGTATGTGTGTGCATGTATGTGTGTATATACATGTATGTATGTATGTGTGTATATGTATGGATGTGTATATATATACATGTATGTATGTGTGTATATGTATATATGTATGGATGTGTATATATATACGTGTATGTATGTGTGTATATATATATGTATGTATATACATGTGTGTATATGTATGTGTGTATATGTATGTATATATACATGCATGTATGTGTGTATATACATGTATGTATGTATATGTATGTATGTGTGTATATATATATATATGTACGTATATTTGTGTGGGTGATTTTTTTTACTTATCAAATTGATAATGCCCATTTCCTTGATCAAAGCAACTGTATGGTGCAGTTCCATAAAATCATAAAATATCAAAAGCATTAAAATTAGCAGCAATTAAATTTATTGGCAAGTGTAAGAATCAGAATAAAGTGCAACCCGAAGGATGGCAAGGCTGATAAAATCGGCGTGTGCGTGTGAAAAAGGCACATTTTATGCCACGAATATGGAAGGGATTTAGATTGCATCTTTTTTAGAGGGTTTAATTGACATGAGCAAAATTTCTGCTGAGTTGAATTCAGAAATTAATGGAAATCAGGCATTTCCCGGTCGGCTTCCTTGTCCTGCAGCACTTAAAACCAAAGATATCGGAAGTTCCTTGCACAATTGGGCTTCCGTCCCTCTCAAAGGGTCATGTTTTTTTCCTCTCGCCATCTGGGAAATCCTAGCACACTATAGCAAAGATTTAACAGCTGATTTTGGGGTTGCTAAGAGTTAGGTTGAGGCAGACAAGCACCTCCCAATCTTACCACATTGTGCATTTAATTTTTATTTTTTGCTTATCTGTAACTTAGGAACGATAACAGTTAATGCAGATAGAAAGTCGCTCTCTTCTCCCCTTCCAAAATGGGTTTGCATCGTGCAATATTAACGCCCCTTCCCCAAATCTTCCCCACAGTGTTTGGAAGGGCTCTGCATGCCATTGGGAGGATCAGCGATGAATTCTGGATCGACCCAAAGGAAAAAGGAGTGAGTAAATCCTGCATCCCGAAAGAAAACAACTTGGGAGCTGAGTCATGGGTTCCAGAGAAAAATCCACTGTCAATTGCCACGCCAGGGTGGGGCTCCCCAAACATCCGTTGTTAATTAAGGAAAAACCTCATTTTGCTCAGAAGGGCCTCATTTGGATGAGAGCCTTTGTACCAACCGCACGAAAACAGCTTTCTACCCCTCACTGGTGCTTAAATGTTGCCTAGAATTACATGTGCAACATTCAAAACGCATAATATTTGTGCAAAACGTGCTAGGATTTCCACCGTTTCCCCGTATTTCAAAATCTAGTGTTTTTCCTCTCACCATCTGGAAACTCCCAGCACAAGATAACAACAGCTGATTTGGGGGTAGTTAAGAATTAGATTGAAGCAAACGAGCGTTTTTGTGCTACCATATTGTGCATTTTTTGCTTATCCATAACCTAGGAAGGGACGCAGCGGCTAAGACGCTGAGCTTGTCGATCAGAAAGATTGGCGGCTCGAATCCCTAGCGCCACGTAACAGAGTGAGCTCCTGTTCCTTGTCCCAGTTTCTGCCAACCTAGCAGTTCGAAAGCATGTAAAAAATGCAAGTAGAAAAATAG